CATTTCAGTACACCAGTAAGAGAGAAATCTCAGGAAAATATTAACTCTTCCAAAATTCTCACAAAAAGGCAGAATGGTACCACCTGGACATGGACAATTTTTGCAGAGCTTGAGCTGAAGTACAGAGCAGAATTCTCAGCTCCTCCCCTTCAGATGTCCCCCAACAGCAACCACAAACCTCCTATTACACAACATCCCTCTGGTTTCTCAATCAGACACCAATTTTTACACTTCACAAATTAAGGTGCTCCTCCATACATCCTCTGTGTCACATCTCATACATCCTGCACCGCCCAGGCAGCAACACAATCTGTAAAAGCCAATAAACCTCTTCTACCTGAGAAGAAATCCCCAATTCCTCATTCAGATCAGCACCTCTGCACTTAAAGACCCAACATGTCAATGGATGGGGATCTCAGCCATGCTGAGGTTTGCTCTCTTGGTTTCCAGGATGTCAGCAGAACACCTTGGGAAAAAACCATACCACATGGCTGTGTTCCCTTATATTTGAAGATAACAAAAGGAAACTAAGATTCCCCTTTTTGTTCCCTTTCACAGAGCTCTCTGCACATGCACTCAATGCATGAACCTTCCCCAGGCAATGGCAGCAGATGCCTCCCTGCACAAAAGACACTGATGTGGGGCAAGGTCCCTTACAAAGAGAAGGTTTTTCCTTTCTGAGCAACGCACACATTCAGCCTGGGTAGCAGTTACAAAGGAAAGAGACCAACGCATATTCTTCACATAAATAGAAGCTATATCCATAGGCAAAGCAGGGCTCAGGAATGACACTCTTTTATTTGTCTTTGACTAATCAGTCAATCAGTCATTTACATCTTTTTGCATTAACCAGTGATTATCACACTCTGTTCCCCATGCTTTTTCCCTATTTCAATATTTGAAATGGCTAATCTACCTCAGTTTAGTCTTTGAAACACTTGCTCACCAGTTATTTGTTCACCATGATTTATCTTGTGCAATAAAAGCACACTGAATATGAGATCACTGTATAGCAGCAGTAGGAAAGGAGTTCAGAAGAATGTGCCTGGAATGGTGCCTTCTGGAAGGAAGGCTGAGCTCAGAAGGGGCAGCACCCTCTCACAGCATGCTGAAAAATGCATTCAGTAACCTTTCTGGACAAACCTCTTTTTTCCCACATTAATTTCATACATTTTGTTCTAATATTACATCCCTCTCTGCACAGAACACCTGCACCTTCTCACAGGCCTGACATTTTATGTTCTCTTACCTCAGCTTTTCCTCACCTTCACCTTTTGTGTTTCAACTCCAGCCTGTTCCCACTACTGGGAACACTACTCAGAAGAGGGGCTGCAGCATGTCAGGGCTCCTGCTCATTCATCAGTGTGTGCTCACCCATCCTGCTCCCCAGGAGAGCTCAGACTTCTGAGCTTCCTCTCCTGTGAGTCCCTGCACTGGGCAGTTCTTGGGTGCAGCCTGGAGACTCATCACGACCAAGCCACTCGATCCACTGAGAAATTACTGATAATTATTGGTGATTCAAGACTGAAGTTCCAACTCTACAGCACTGTGCTCAAGAAGTAGGGCTGAGGTCTGAGCAGGGAAGGGTGCAGCAAACACCAAGACAAACTTGTAACTTTAGAATCTGCCAATGTGAGAGGTTTTGTTGTCCTTGCACACAGGAGCTTTTGTAAGGGTCACAGACTGGTGAGCTGGGACACAGCCCTGTGGTGAGGCACATGGGCTGTGAGTCAGGAGCTCTGGGGGATGTTCCTCAGCTCCGGGTGATTCACTCTGAGCCAGAGCCCGCTGCTGCTGAGGACAATAGCAAATAACCCACTGCTCTGTGCCAGTGAGCAAGCACCCTATGTCCAAATGAACCTCCCCAAGAGTGGAACTATCCGTGAGAAGGCTACAAACCTTCACAGTTATTAGAATTTATGCTGCACTTCAAGATCCAGATGATAAAGTGCTGCACGTACACAAAGCACAGCAGTGCCTCTGTAAAAACAAAAGCTCATTGATTGAGCATTGCTTTATGCAAAAGGCAGAGGAGCAAGCAAAGGTTGCTCTCAGGAATACTTTCATCACTTGGACAATCACTTTGCAGCCAGGCTCCCAGAGCACTCAAGAAGTGGGTAATTTCCTGCACCAGGGCTGAGAGATGTCCTGAGGCACGAGCAGCCTCTGACACAGGTTTGCTGGGCAGCAGCCTCAAGGCACGTGGACCAGTGAGAATTTGGAAACTGGCACTCTGTCCCAGCCTGTACTGACAGAGCTGAGCGTGGATGTGACTTCTGCACTGTCACACTTGGAACAACTCATTTCTAAAGCAGGCAGATGGAGCTGGTAGGGCTTCAGAGACGCAAATCAATCATGGCAAGACACACATTTCTGAAGAGGCTGATTAGCTGAATCCCCCAGGAGCCAGATCAGACAAACATTCACCCCCCACACTCTCACTCAGGACAGAGGTCACTCATCCCTACAGGTCACCTGGATGATGAACACACATTGTCTTATTCCTTCATTAGGTCACAGTATGCTAAGCTCAATTCAGTAAAATCTCCATTGCTAAAAGCTGTCTTGTCTACTGATTAAATGCCCCATGTAGTCAATTAGTTAAAACCACTGTCTATCCTGTGATCACAGTGGGTTCCTAACATCCAAAACTGAATCTAAATATTGAGTTTTATTCAAAAGAATTTTATCAAATGCCTCGGTTGTTTTTTCTTCTTTTCCAAATATGCACTAAACATACACAGAGCTGAGAATTTAACAGATGTTTTTGTTACTATTATAATCTAATCTTTTCCTGCAGGCTGTTGTAGTAATTTTGCCACTAGAAGATAATAAAAAAACATTTTCTCCCCTGCAGAGCTTACCTTTGGCTGACTCAGCTGAGCAGCTGCAGTTTCCTTTACTTGCTTTGAAATTATTGCATCCCAATTGGGCAAGATATTTCTGCTACTGAGAAACAAGTGGCTTTGGAGAAAATGCCAGAGGCAATTAGATAAAGTCTCTTCACCTTGCTCTAGCAGCATTCAAAGCTGGTAATTTGGGCTGCAGCTTTTTCAAGTGGTCCCACAAATGTTTGGGTTTACAGCCAGGAAAAACAGAGCTCCTGAGCCTGCCTATCAAATAACTTTAGATTACTGGTGAAACTCCCAGTTTGTATCTCAGTAAGGAATTCAAGCAAGTGGGTAAGAGCTTCCAAAACAAACAAACAAAATACCAACAGCAAGTCAGCTCTCAACTGCAACTGCTTAATACTGACTCTAACACAGAGTTTATCTCAGGGCTTCCCTTGCCTCGTGCAGCAGTTGCCGGAGCACACCTCCACTTCTGACTGAAGAGGAACAAAAAAAACCCTTCAAATCCCAGGTGGTTTGGCCAGCCCAATGCTGTGTTTGGCTGATGTGTTGTCCAGGTGAGCATACTGAGAAACAAGAAAAATAAATTAAAGTATTAAATCTCACTAATAAAGACTATGATTAGCATAACATGAGAGCAAATTCAGAATAATTTTAGCATACAGGAGGAAGAAAAACAGTTTCAGAGTAATAATCTGTGGCTGGTTAGATCTGAATTAGTCTGACAGCTAAGACAAACTCTGGCATATTTAGTTCAATGCTTTGTCTATTTATAGTTTACAGATATTTACAGTTAGATCTTGTTAAAAAAAAAAAACCAGTATTCTGTAGAGAATGAATTCCTAAGCTGGGCAGATCTCCCCAGAGTTAGCAAACTACTCCCAAGGCAGCCAGGACACAGCTGGCACTCCAGCTCAACACAAACCAGCTCCCAGGCGTGAGAACCAGTCTGCAAAGCCAGACAACTCAGTCCCACAGAAAAGGGAGGAGGACTAGAAAGACCCCACACTATAGCCCTGAGATATATATATATATAAAATCACTATATAGATAGTGATAACCTGGATCGGTTCAGCCCAGCAGCCTCCCCTCTGTGCTCAGCTTTCTCCCAAGTTTTCAGGGTTTTGTCCATGACCTGATGGCCCTCTCTGCAATCCTCCCTCTGCTACGCACTGAACTTAGTCTGTGTCCTCATTTGTCTGCTTGTCTGGCACAAACACAAAGTGTAAAGAAATAAGGTCTTGAGGAAACTCCCATAATTGTCAAGCACTTTAGCTCTAAAGTGCGCCATAAGCTTCCCAGCCCACATTATTATTACCAAAGAAAATGAAAACCTGGGAAAAAAAAAATATTTCTTATACCTTGACAGGTCCATCACTTCCCATTAAAAATAGAAAAGCTATTACAGAAAGTGAGCGAGCACCTGAATTATAGATCAGCACAGGCCTGGGGTCGTGTGCCTGCACCCGGCAAGGGCCAGAGCTCGGCTGCCCTGCAGCACCTTCAGCAGTGCCGAGGGGCACTCACAGCCTCTGCCCACAGCCCCAGCACCCTCCTGGCGCCGTCATGAGTGGGAGACAGGAAGGCAAAAGATTTCCCTGCAACGCCAGTTCCAGTGTTGATAGCTTGTTCTCTACATAGATATGTGTAACTGTAACCACAAAAGTGGTTAGGAGCTGTGATCTAAAGCTTGGGAGGAGGTCTGGTTTCTGTTTTGGACCAGTGTAATGCGTAGTTCTATTTATATCCCTCTTCTTAAATATAAAACACTGGGGTACTTTATCACTGAAACAATATTTATACACTGTCATCCATGTATACCCTTCTGCTCGATGGAATATACTGTGATTAGGGGTGATGAAACTTGAAACTTAAAACTGCCAGCAAACTAAATGAACTGAGTTAGGCTTGTGGGGCCAAGGGAGAGTGCGCAGGGGGCTGCTGCATGTCAGCAGGGCACAGGCAGCCACGGGCACACACAGACATGGGACACACGCAGCCGTGGGGCACACACAGCCATGGGGCACAGAGCCGTGAGGCACAGGCAGCCGTGGGGCACAGGCAGTCCCACTCACAGGCACCCGTGAGGCGATCGCGGCCCGGCCCGGCCCCGGGGCTCCCATTGGCGGCGGTGGCGGTGGGCGGGGAGCGGCAGCGGGCCCGGCCCTGCAGCGGAGCGGAGCCCGGCGTGGCCCGCGGGAGCGCAGCCGGGGCCGGCCGGCAGGTACGGGGCGAGCGGGGCGAGCCGGGGGTTTTCCGCTGCCGGGCCGGAGCGGGGGACAGAGCGGCGGGGTTGGGGGGCGTGCGCACCGCCGGGCTCGGCCCGGGGTCCCGCGGTGTGCGCTGCCCGTCCCGGGGTTCCCCTGTGTGTGCTGCCCGTTCCCCGGTGTGTGCCGCCCGTCCCGGGGTCCCCCAGTGTGTGCCACTCATGCCGGGGTCCCCCGGTGTGTGCGCAGCCTGCGGCCCGAGAGCCGCTCCGGACGGGCGGGTGTGCTGTGTTTTTGAGGGAGGGCGTGCTGGGTTTTTTAGAGGGACTCTTTGAGTTGCCAACTTTGCCCGTGTAACAAACCCCGGGCACGCTCCCGCTGTGGAGCTGTAAGCGGGACCCCGCTTGGGCCGTGCGCCTGTTCCAGAGGGGCACGTCAGCTCCCGGGCGCTGGGAGCGACAGGGAGGGACAATTGTCCCTTCCCTCGGTGGTTCCCCTGGGCAGCCAGCCCGAGTGTGTCGCTGGTCACGAGTCCGGAGTGCCTCGGGATGAGTGCGGGACAGGGAGCGGGGGACGGACGGGGTAAGGCTCTGCCTTGAGTTTCGTGGTTTTCCTCCTTCCTTCCTTCCTTCCTTGGGCGCCTCTGAGCTTGGCTGGCACTTGCGAGAGCCACAGCCGAGCTCAGGCTGCCAGCAGCTGGGTTGGGCAGCATCGGTCTGAGCTCTTAGAGCCGCTGCCCGCCGGCCCCTCGCTCTGGCGCTGTGCTGAGCAGCCGTGGCGAGAAGCTTGGCAGCTCAGTCAGTCCCTGTCCCACTGGGACTGTGACATTCTTGAAGGCCCGATGTGACAGCCAGTCCCAAAATGTACGTGTGCTGAATTGGGTTCCTTGTAAGCATGGCAGGAAGGGGGTTACCAGAGCCTGCTCTCCTTGCTCCAGCACTTACAGCATGCCGGGAAAGAGGGAGAAGCAAGCTGAAATGCCTTCAGGCAGGAAAAGGAGAGGAACTTTGTTCTTCTTCCTCTAAATGCCTGCTCAGGCGGCTGCATCTTACTTGCTGTCCTTGGTGAGCAAGAGCTTATGCCAGCCCTAACTCCAGGAGAGATTTCTCAGGGCAAAGCAGAAAGAGGGAGTCAGGGAGAGCTGCAGAGAGATGAGGCTCGGGGCATTTTCTGCTGGCAGCCCTCAGCAGTCAGATCTGGGTGTCAGGGACCATCCCATGTGTGGTATGCATGAGGTATGCAGTGGATACCAGGGCTGTCAGTTCTGCCTGATGGCAGGAGCAGAGGGATCAGGTAGAACAGCTCTCTGCATCGGTACACCTAAGCCTTAGGTACATACAGACTTGAAAAACATACCCCAGACTTGCTGACCCGCGAGCTGAAGTTGAAATGCTGTGCCTGGCAGGCACCAACATGGCTGTTTATAATCACAAGTGAACAAGCCCTCATTGTTAAGTGTTGTGGCGTGCTTACTTCTGGAGGGGAGTGCCAAGATGTGGTTTTTTTTCCTTTGAACATCAGTCATATTCACTGTATAGTACTTGATCACATGCAGAACCAGCAGATCTTGATGAAAAAAACAACCCCAGAATTCGCCATGCCAGAAACTTTTGTGAAAAGCAGTGTGCCAGAAAAGCACATCTGACCACCCTAATTTCAGCTGGGTGATCTGCTGCTGCTGCATGTGGTACATGGGCATATGTAGCACTTGCTAATAAGCACTGTGACCATGCTGACCTGACACAACAAACTTAAGCAAACAGGAAAAAAAATATTTACCAAAATGAATAAACTAGATTAGACTTCATACCCTCACTTTGTTCCAAAGGGAGAGGCTCTCATCTCCCAGGAAAGGAGACCATAGTAACACTCAGCAGCAATCTTTATTTACCAGATTCACAAAGAGCTTGCATTCCAAAACCAAACTGTGGATTATTTGCAGTGAGTCACAGTATTAACATGAAATTGGGTTTTATGTGGTCAGTCAAGCCAAGCGCTATGTGGAACTCAGGGCAGGATGGATCTGGCTTGTGGTGGGATGTGATGAGTCAGCCCCCCAGATGGCTGTTGCTCCCCCCACCTGAACAGGGATAACACAGAGAGATAGAGTGAGTTGTCCAAGCCTAAAGGTAGGCACTCTAAGTCCCACTCCTATTTTTTTTTTTTTAACTTTTTATTATGTCTATGTGCTGTTCTCCAGTCACTTATGCCTTAGGGAGGAGAGAGATAGGAGGAAAACATTCTGCTTTTGCATCCCACGAAAACTCCTTCAAGAAATACCCTGGGCTAGAGCAACCAACAATTTTAGTGACAGCAGGAGATTTTTCCCACGACTTTGTTGGCTTTTCTTAGGTGAACTCGTGGTATTTTAACTAGGTAGCAAACCAGAGGGTGGATGAGTAAGGACATACCTGCAGGTAGAAGTCTGATGTGTAATGAGAGCTCACCTTCAGTTTTTTTCACACTACAGGATTGTGTCCAGCCCTTCTGCTTTTGCTCCATGTAGTAAGTCCAAGGGCTTTCTGTGCAGGGGCCCAGGTCAGTGCAGCAGCTGAAGCTTTCACAGCAGCAGAGCTTACACTCCTCTTTGAAAAGGAGCTTGGGTTTCTTGGCAAGGTCTTTATATTTGAAAAAATATTTTAGTTTCCACTGGAATCTGGTGTGCAGATACCCCTAGAAACAGAGTCAAGTACCATAAGTTCTTGAGAGGTTGGGCTATGCTTCTAAACTACATAAAAGAGGTAGGCTAAGAGCTCCATAGCCCAGAAACATGAGGGAAGGAAACTGGTGGGACTGCTTTGGCTTTTATCCCATTTGGTGTTGCTGGTGCCAGAAGTTCTTGCCAGTATAATCTTGCATTCACAGTCTTTGCACACCAAGGATCCCAAGCTGTAATTCGAGTTTTTCCTTTATTGTTTTTGTGCTCATCTTGTTCTTTCACACAGAAACTCCTCAGCCAGGGATTTGAGGAGACCACATCCCAGGGTAGGTGGGAGTCCGGGTAACCCTGTTCAGGGAGTTTGGTGCACAGTTGTGGACAACAGTTTGCCCTGCCTGTTTGCTCTTCAGCCTCATTTGTGCATTTAAGAGGGAGAGGGTAAAAGCACATGGTGCTTATTGCAGCAGGACATCTCCTCTCCCTGCACAGATCCACTCGGGCTGATGGAGCCACGCTGGGAATGGAGGCTCTCTCCTCTCTGATGACAAGGAGCAGATCCTTGGCCCAGCTGCTGCACGTCTGTGCCATGGCAGGTTGGCTGGGGAGTGCTTTCAGCCTCTGCTGCTGGAGGCAGCCCCTGGATCCCCCTCTGCGCCAGAGCATTCAGTAAATGTGAAGTGCCCACCCACATGAGTGGATGTGCCCAACAGAGCCCAGCTCCATCCAGTGCCCTCCAGGGCTTTGAGGCCCTGAGGATTCCCATCCTTCCCTGCAGCTCGAGGGGGACCTGAACAAGACAGCTCTCCAGGAGCACTCACCACTCAGTGCCTCTCAGAGAAAGCTGTTCCTGCAAGCTGGGTCACTCCATTTAGGTCTGCCATGGCTAAACCTGTGTCTTGGCCTTGTGCCTTTTCAGCCTAGGGAAGGAAGCTCTGGGAACTCAGAGGAATTGCCCAGTCTGTCTGCAGATGGGTCAGCTGAGAGGAGCAGGGTGTGCAGCAGCCTTCTGCAGCAGCTCTGTGGTTTCCTTCCAGCACAGCAAAGGGGTGACTGGGGGTGAGGGGCAAAGGTAGAATGTCACACAAACACAGAACAGGTATATTGCCATCGTCCACTTCCCTCCAGCCTACTTGGCAGCAGGGACTCTGGGCAAGGAGCACAGGGATACCAGTGGAGAGCAGCTCTGCATGAGTGCTCCCATCCACCATCAGCAGCAGCCGGGCTAACAACACAGGGCCCTGTGATGTGCCTTGTGGTGGCTGAGCTACCTCTGCAGGAGGAAATGATTCACATTCCCATGGCCAGCTGGCCTTGGGCAGCACCCTCCAGCCTGCGAGGGGCAAGGAGGAAATCCACTGCCAGGGAGCACCTCCCTCACTGCAGACTGCCAAGAGCAAGCAGCTGCTTTCGCTTCAGGGCTGCCCTTACCTGGGCTTCCTGTTAGAACAAAACCAGAACACAATGTCAAACCCCCAGACTGTGTGAGAAGGAGGGTGCAGAGGTGTGGGACAGATGAGTGTGCTCCCTTCCACTTCCCTTTCAGCAGAGCTCACTGTTTTCAGAATGATATGTCCTGAATTTGGAAGGACTGTCAGTCCTGGGATAACAGAAGAAAGGCTTAGCTTGTGTGGCTTTATTCACATCAGAGGGGCTTTCTAAATTTCTTCCATTTAGCCTTTTTGTCATGCATGGAAGACCAGCAGAAACAAGTGATACCACAGAGTTTGCTTTTGTTCCTGCCTCAGCTCTGGCCCAGAATGGAGCTGTGGGGGGGGTGTGTCTGTAAGCAATCCTTGAGAAAGCAGGTGTGCACTCAGAAGCAGGAGCCTTGCTCTCAAGACCCTTTTGTGCAGATCTGTGGATCTGCATAAAGTCAGGTGCAGATCAAGCAGCTTTCTTTTCCAAGGGCACACAGGGAGACTGGTAAAAAGCACAACCAGGAAGACCTGGCTCTGCCTTCAGGGGCTTCCACTGCTGCAGATTGAACCATCCCAGTCCAGCCTGGGCTGTTGCAAAATGGGGTCAGAAAGTTTGAAGATTTTATTTAGAAAGGTAACAAACCCAAGTGAGGAGTGCTCACGAGATCACGTGTAGCCTCAGCCTGCATCAGGAGCATCTCCCCTGTGCATCCACTGGCTGCTCACCTTCGCCCTGGTGCAGATGTCTGCAGTTTCACCACTTCCCTCTTTGTTTCCTCTCTTCAGAGCGGGCTGGCCATGGTGGACCACCTTGCAAACACGGAGATCAACAGCCAGCGCATCGCTGCTGTGGAAAACTGCTTTGGGGCTTCTGGGCAGCCCTTAGCCTTGCCGGGCAGGGTGCTCCTGGGAGAAGGGATTTTAACCAAAGAATGCCGCAAGAAGCCGAAGCCTCGCATCTTTTTCCTTTTCAACGACATCCTCGTCTACGGCAGCATCATCATCAACAAAAGGAAGTACAACTCCCAGCACATCATCCCCCTTGAAGACGTCACTTTGGAGACGCTGCCGGACACCTTGCAGATGAAGAACCGCTGGATGATCAAAACCTCCAAGAAGTCCTTTGTGGTGTCCGCAGCCTCCCTGACCGAGAGGAAGGAGTGGATCAGCCACCTGGAGGAGTGCATCAAGCACCTGCTGACCAAGACGGGCCGGCAGCCCTGCAGGGAGCCCGCGGCTCCCTGGATCCCAGACAAGGCCACGGACATCTGCATGCGCTGCACGCAGACCAAGTTCTCCACGCTCACCCGCAGGCATCACTGCCGCAAGTGCGGCTTCGTCGTGTGCGCCGACTGCTCCAGGCAGAGGTTCCTGATGCCCCGGCTGTCCCCCAAGCCCCTGAGGGTCTGCAACCTGTGCTACAGGCAGCTGCTGGCAGAGAAGAAGAAGGAGGCAGAGGCGGATCAGAGGCAGACGGAGCCGATCCCCTCCGCCATGCAGGGCTATGAGCCCTCCAGCGGCGATGACAGCGACAAGTCTGACGATGAGAAAGCTGAGCAGTGGCCAGCAGACACAGAGTTTTACACCTCACAGGTATCCTGGTCATCTTTCCACAGCTGACCTCCCTGGGAGGTGGTGGTGTTTAGGCACTGGGAAGCCAACCTTGGCCTCCAATGCGTGTCCTTCTCGATGTTTTCTCTGAAGGCCATGCCTGAGAAGGTGGGTCTTGGCCCCGTGTGTGGTGTCAGAGCTGAGACAAGGTTTCCCCTCTGAGAACGTCTCATACGATCTGAGCACAGAGAGAACAGCTCCGTGAAGAGCATTGAGGACTGGGGCAGCACCCTGTGGATCAGTCTTGGCCAAATGAGCTCACCTTCAGTGCCTTATTCTTCCTCTCTGCTAAAACATCTCTCGTTTGAAATGTTTTGAAATTGGCTCTTGGGAGGAAAAGAAATCCCAGAGCTGAACATATTGGCCTGCTCACAGTTTGTTCCTCACAGCAAGGGCCACTCTGCATGTCACTTTCCGTGAGCATTCTGAGATTCTCACTGCAAGCTTGCCAGCCTGAGGGAATAGCTGCTCATCCCTGCATGGTACGGCCAGCACTGGATTCCCTGTCTTCTCAAGGCTGGAAACACTAAGAGAATGGTACTTGGAAGGCAGGGAGCTTGTGTGGGGCTCAGTGTGAGCCTCAGCAAAGCACTGGAGCATCCAGCTCTCTCACATGGAAAGAGGCCATGCCAGTGGTACCGGGCAGGAGGAGGAAAGGGGAGGGGAAAGGGACAGGGAAAATGACACTGAGCAGTGAAATATGGAGGGAGAGAGGTACTGCATTCACTCAACTAAGTGCAGAGCCCAGACCTCAAACACAGGCAGTTGTACCAGATTACTGGAAACTTGAAAATCTCAAGCCTATCAGGTAAGAGGACAGCCCAGGGAAGACTTGTTAAAAGTCTGTAAAAGTCCAGGGAAAAGCCCCAAATTAAGATCCTGTGAAGTACAGCACTTCAACTTCCCCTTCCCTCCTGGGCTGCTGCCCAAGGCATCAGATTCTCACTTGTGGGCTCACCTCCTGCCTTATCAGTCTCACGAGTCCAAAGTTTAGGTCCTTTATGTACTTCAAGGATGGGAGCCAAAGACTTTGCAGTTTACTTGAGATCAACTTCAAAGTTCAAATTCAGTTAGAAATAAACTGTGTTTATTCAAGTACTCTATCATAATGTAGTATGGGAGTAAATATAGAGGAAATCAGACAACAGCAATTGTTTTGCAGCAGGCATTTATACAAACTCCATTATTACTTTTAGTGTATTTTTGTATTGTGTATTTTGCGGTCTGGAAAAGCAACATGGCTGGGAATACACTGCCAATGTTGTGAAATGTTTCCTTACCACGACCTGTTACAAGCAATGCATTGCTTGACAGGTGGCCATGTGTTTTTTTTAAATTTCAATTCAAGATAATTATTCTTACACTCTTTTATAAACTGCTACTGTTCCAGTGAATTTGTATTACTTGACTGTGTGTGAATAAAGATACTGCCAACAGGAAGGAGCCAGGAAACCAGGACAATAAAGCATGTTATTATTGAACAAGGGTCTTAACAGGAGCGGGGATCCAGGCCTGGCCAGCCCAGCACGAGTGGTGACTGCTCAGCTGTGGGGAGACTGCTCTGGTTTCTGTTTACTGCTTCAAGGTAAGGGCATCAAATCTGATGCTCCTGTCTATTTATACCATGTTGTTGTCTGACAGGCTTTCCCCAAGTCTCCTGCAATCCCTGCAGTAGTCTGTATTAACTGGAACCGTATTTTTCCGGTGGGGACACAGCTCAGAGTGGGCCAGCAAACCTTATGACCTAAGCAGATGTTTTTGGGCTTTAAAGCAATAAGTACACCGAGTTCTGTTTTTTCCATCCCTCTCCAGACTCAGTTCCTAACTCCGCACAGCAGTGATTGTTTTTACAATGCCTCCCACCCACCAGAAGGGTGTACATGCTATGCAAACAGAAAATGACCTTAAAAATAAACAGCCATTAGAGTGGTTCACAAGCCAAAAATAGCCCAGCTGCTGAGTCTGCATCCAATCAGAAATGTACTGCAGTTTGGCACCTAATGCTTAGTTCAGTTAGAGATCAGCTTACTTTGTGTGTTTGAAGGTCTTGCCTAGCCAGCCCCAAAAGACCTATGAACTGTTTTTATGCTCCAATGAGGGACAGGCACGCCTCTAAAGAATGCCTTCTTGGTGAGCAAAAGCTTTTCTCAATCACAGCAGGGAAAAAAAATCAGAAAAACTGAACCACCAAAAACAACCCAGCCTCTTTTTCTGGTGCATGCTGCTGATGGCTTCTGAGGAAATGCACACATCTTCCACCAACTGCAAGCCCCAAGAAACAAAGCAATTCTTAAAATTTAATGCCTATGGTAAAAGGATCCTGGCCAGGAAAACATGGGGAAATTTAAACAAAGCCTCTCCTCCACTTCTGAACTTCTGTTGTGGAGCTCAGCACTGGATTAGAGCCTGGGGCTCCTGGCTTCTGGCCTGCTGAACACATGGGTTTTAAATCACAGGCTGTGTGCTGTTACAGTCCAGCCTGGAGTTTTCCAGCCTGATTCTATCTCCAGTGCATTAATAGGGTATTTCCTGATAGTTTGTGTTCTCTCTTTTTTAGCTCAATAAAGGCCTTAGCAGAGATTCATTCCAGTTTGCAGCCTCACGTGGCCAGGAGGAGCAGCAGCTCCAGTGCTCACCTTGGGGAGCATCTGCAGGCTGGAGGGTTTGTGGGGTCACAGCGTTCTCCTGAAGGGCTCCAGACATGAACTGTGGGGATCATGTGCCAGAAGAGGTTCCTTGCTCAGCCCCTGCCTGAAGGTGTCACAGCCCAAAGGCACAGCAGGGTGAGGGTGTCCCCAGTGCACACCATCCTCTTCTCCTCTCCAGAGTTGGTTGTAAGGGGAGGAAGAGGATGGCACTGGTGCAGCAGCCAGTCAGGAAATGTAACAGAAGGTAATGGGGAGATTAGCTCTGCAAATAAACTGAAAGGATCAGAAAGGTTCAAGGAAGGCTGTGTGTTCTGCTGTCCCAAGGCCCAGCTCAGGCACACACCCGCTCCCAGCACGGTGCTGACTCAGCGTTCACGAGCACTCAGGAAGGAGAAGTGAGCCAGCTGCTCCAATGGAGTCTTGCTCCCGGTTTCTCAAACACTCAGTTTCTATCCAGGCTGGATTTCTGGCTCTGCCGCAGCTCACAGCCTCTTCCAGCTCACTGCTGCTGCAAGGCAGTTTCTCGTGTGCCTCACTCAGCCTGGGTTTTGGATTAGGAGGAGGAGCTGAGGAGTACACACGGTCCCAGCTGCTCCTGAGCTGCAAAGTGGTGTCTCCAGTGAAAAGCACAGGCTTCTGTTTCTCACCCTTTCTGCTGCAGGCCATGGACCTTTAAGAATGGAGCTGGCAGGAAGGAGATGTTGCGCTGCTGTCCCACATGGTGGACACAAAACAGCTGCAAGAAATCTTTGCCAGGACCTGTGTGCTGGAGATGGTGTCCAGGGCCCCCAGAGGAGCACAGGCTGCACACCAGGGTGTACAGCACTGCAGGGCAATCCCAGCCAGCTCTCCTTTGTTACCTGTCACAGGCAGAACACCCCCAGAGCCATGCAGGTGCTTGGGAGGGAGCCTCTCCTGCCTGTGACCTGGCTCATAAAACCTCCAGACACAGCCAGTGCTGTGGTCCTGTGCTGCAGGAGGAGGAGAGAGGCAGGCAGGGAGGTGCTGTGAAGTGCTGGTGAACCCTGAGCAACACCAAAGCTGGCATCTGAGCAGGTTTTCTGTGAACCTCTTATGGAGAGGTTCACAGCCCAGAGTGAGCTACACAACCTGCCAGTCTGCTGCTGCAGGGAGGGGAGAGAAAGGGGAGGAGGGCAGCTAGAGAAAAGGTTTTACTCAGCTAGAGAAAAGGTTTTACTTTAGCAAAAAAGGTTTTACTTTAGCAAAGGTCCATTGTGCAGCACCTTCTTTTGCACACACCCTGGGCAGAGCACCTGCAGACTGTCCCGTGTAGCAAGGGATTGCTGAGCTTTGCCAGCCTCTCCTCTTTTAAAATTGTAAACACAATGTGTGTGACAGCCTATGGAAAAATGGATTTGAGAAGGAAAAAGCATTAACTCAAGGCCAGACAGCTCTCTTCCCCTCTAAAAGCAACAAGAAAAAAATTCACATGTTTTTTACAGGAAGAGTTTAAAATAAGGTAAAACCAGAGCCTCAGTGGCTTCGCATAGAAAGGATTTCCAGAGTGCTTTCAGGAGTGCCCCTCACAGGCACCCTCAGATGGCTCAAACAGCTCCAACAGCGGGGTGAGAGCCACAGCCAACCCATAACCCAGAGCCACCAGCACCCAGGTCACAGCTCTCCCCTGGCTTGTCAGAGCCTCTGACTTGATGAGTGCTCAGCAGCAAGTTCCAGCCAAACTAACCCGAGTCTAGATCCTGCCCAAAATGTCCTTTGCACACCTGTTTCCTGCCTGAGCAGCCCCTACGAGCCAGCTGCTGTTCATGGTCCAAAGTCTCTCACACGCTCCGGTGGGGCTTTGCACACCCTGTGAGCACTCCCAGCGCCAGCCTCCCTGGGCGGCAGGGAGCCTCCCACCCCTGCGGGGCTGTCTCCTCCCTGGGACAGGCTGCTGTGGCTGGGCAGGATCCAGCCGCTCTCCCTGACTCCCAGCCGCAGCTGTGTGTGCGGCCAGCGAGCAGAGGCAGCAGGGCTTGGGCACTGGCCCTGCTGCACAGGGCTCTGCAGCTCACACAGGGCACACGCCTTCCCCCAAACCGCAGCAGAGGTGCCTGCTGTCAGCACATCCATCCTGCGTTTGTTCACCCCAGCACCAGGCTGGAGGCAGACACAGCCTCAGCCCCTGTGTCTGTGCTGGTCCCACAGGCACTCGGGATGTCACACTGCAGCCATCTGTTTGCAAGGAAACAGCTCTAATGATGAGAGGCTCTACAAAATCCACTGGCAAAGAGCTGTTAATCTGGGGAGGATGACAAATGGAGACTGTCACACTTGGCTACTTCAAGACTTAACAGTCCTGCTGCTGCTCACTGCAATACCACATTTGGAGAGGTGTTACCTCCAGAAAAACAGGATCTGGAACGCAGCTGGTGTAGCCCGGGAGCAGGGGCAGCCCTTTCAGCACCCTCTGGAGCCTAAGGACAGCTCTCTGGAGCAGCAGCAAGTCAGCACCCCTCCCAGCAGCTGACAGCCTCCCTCTGTCCTCAGGGACTCAACAGCCAAAGCCCAGCCATGGCTGTGGCACAGAAGGGATCCAAAAGGATGTGTTTGTTGGTTGAGACCTTACAAGTCAGAGCTCCACAGAGCTTCCCCCATTTCAGCACCCTCACCCTTCAGGAGACCCGTCTGGGCAGTGCAGGAAGAGTGGGGAGCCCCCAGCACAGGAAACGCTGCTCCCTTTGGGATATGGGGGAGGGTCCTGTGCTGGAGGCTGGCAGAGGAGCTGGGCATTGCCCAAGCATGAGCAACACAGCACCCTGGACACAGACTTTGACAGGCTGCTCCAGGACAGATGTGGCTTTAATAGCTCTCTGGAGGCTCAGCACCTCCTGTCAGCTCTGCCTCCCACTCAGAGCACTGAACTTTCTCCTCCTGCTCATCCCCCCCACCAGAATTTGCCTCTGGAAGCTGGATTTTCCTGGGGTCAGCTCATCCAGCTACACTGGGACAAGGCTGCAAGCAGGGCCTCCTTCCCAGCTGTACCAGCCCTGCACAACAGGCACTTCTGTGAGCTGAACAGTTCTTGGCTGCAGGTTTAGCAATGGCAGCAAGACAGGGGAAAAGACGGAGCTTTATATATACATATACATATATATATATAGAGAGAGAGAGAGAGAGGGAGAGAGAGAGAGAGAGAGAGATTCTGCAAAACAAAGCAATAGCATGACCATATCTTAATACAACCTCCACTTTGAAAGGGTGTGAATAAAGATTTCCCTCTAAAAATATGACCTAGTGCTTTGTGTTCTGGTAGCTGAAAGACATTTCCTCTATGGTGCAAGTAATAAAAGCATTTGTTTTAATTTTAAGTTGATATTGCAATTTTGAGGTCATGAAGTAACTGATTGCAACTGATGGACCTGGAGAGGTCAGGTGCTCTGCTTAATCACTGGTTTGTACATGGGAAAGCAGTGGGAGAGGAAGACTCCACTCCTGAGCAGAATAAAGACACAAAGGCAAATGGGCAGGTCTTACCTGGCACAGGAAACCCCTTTTGTACAACACAGAAAATGCCACGCTTTTTTCAGTGTGATTGCTTTGGCAGCTCCTTCATTGTGTTTTACTCACAGTAGCACATCTGTTGGCACAGCACTGCAGGAACTGGGAGAACATGAAAACAGTCTGACTAACCCAGAGCCAGAGTTCACCTACCCCAAAAACATGAGGGACAGCATTGAAGAGGCACTTACAGAGCAATGCTGCTGCTGCCTTAGTCTCCTCTCAGCCTGGTGGGAAATTCGTGGAGGCAGTGGTTGGTGTGACCAGTCCTCACTCTCAATCTGCCTCATCACTTGCTGAATACATTTTTGTTCTGGCACTTGGAGCATCCTGTGCCAATTAACTCCACAATTCCCTGTCCCACTGTGTGAACAAGCACTTCCCCTCACCTCTGCCAGTTCAGGGGGTGCCCCCTGCCTTCTCCAGCACAGCATTGTTCCTCCTGTTCAGCTCTGTGCCAGTCACAGCTGTGACAAAATCTCCCCCATCAGTGCCCTTTCCAGGTGGAACAGTTTAAACCAGCCCATCTCTCTTTACAGAGGTGCCCTCCCATAGAGTGTTATCCTTCTCTGTATCCCTCCAGCCCTGCAATGCCCTCTCTGGCTCCCAAAGGACAAACTTGGCCAGTGGACCAAGCAGGCTGCACTGACTATCCAAGATGTGGCAGCTACCTGGGTTTGTTCAATGACCTAACTAGATTTACTCCTTGGTTTCCTTTCCCATCTGTCCAACCCTTCTTGTTGTCTTCTGACTCACTGCTGAGCACTGTCAGAAATCTGTCCAGTGACCTCAAGCTCCTTCCTGAGAGAAATCAGGTCAGCACTGTGTGGTCAGGGTTCCCTCCTGGTGGCACTTACCAACACGCAGGGTTCTGCTGACCGCAGGCTCGTGGCCATGTCTGCAGCTGCTGGCAGGCACTGGGCTGCTGTGGGAAGGTGCCTTTGCTGCCCAGTGAGGTTTTGATATCTTGCAGATAAAGCAGAGCATCCCCTCTCTTCCTCCCCATGGCAGCACAGCACAGTGTGACCTTGTTTTCCTTTGTGGCCAGTCCACGCCAGGACGATCCTGTCCTTAGAGCACAGCTGCAGCACAGAGCTGGGGCTCTTGGGCTAAGCCCAGCAGTGCCTGGGTTTAACTCAGGAGCACTGGGACTGCATCCTCTGGGCAGGGCTGGGAGATGGCGTGGCTGGAAACGGAGCTGCTGCGAAACACTGCAGCCACATCGTCAAACACTTGGCACGTGCAGCTTTCCATGAATATCTGAGGTTCCCAAAGACCAGCCAAGGCTAACCAAAGGAAAGGATGTGGGGCAGCTTTGAAGCTGGCTCTGTTGTTGGGGTGGGAGCAGCCAGTAGTTGGTTCATTGATTTCCTGAGTGCTATCTGCAGACACTGTCCAATTTTGGTCTATTGC